CCTATCAGCAAGACTTGTTGGCATACAATGTATACGTACGCATTTAGTGTTTCCAGTCCTGGACGATAGTCAGGTTTATAGATTATTATGCGAGACCTACGCTATATCCGAATATGCATCTTCTCGGCCACAGCGTATATGATATTTGAAAGCCTCTATCGATATCAATTACTTCGCAAAATGGCGTCCATATGAGGCCGCGCGAATCATCTCCTTACGAATATATCCCGAGCTTCTTGTTTTACACTTGCCTTACAGGTTACCTATTGAAGGTCGTTAATCTGCAACAAATATCACCCGAATTGCAAGTGATTTTGCTCCTTCTCAATCCTTACACAATAGTTGCCCAGCAAGTGCATGTTATTTGCCTTGGTGTATTTTTCGTTTCAAGAACTTAAACGCGTTTGGTTGTCTCATTCGTACTTTCAAATGCCCCTCAGATTAATTACCAGAATCGATGGTCTTCTTCTACCCCCAACCTGAGCAAATAGATTTTGGGCAGGTCTTTCTCGTCGTTGGAGGCTCTAAAAATCATAATATTGACTGGCCAGTTGAGACTTTTCCACGTCCTTCGGCATCATTAATTGAAAGCAGTGCAGGCTTTTCGTAGGCTGATTAACGGTTGTTGGAAGTCGATCGGACCTCCTTCTTAGTTCAGGTCATCTGTGGCCCTGCCCATTATGGGGTCAATCTTCTATCAACAACAGGACGCTGCATCCGCAGATCCAGCCGATAATATTTCTTTATCGATTGTATTAATATAGGCGGAAATACATTGACTGAAACCAGCGAAGTCACTCGGCCCATGTTGAACGTATCCATCCACTATTCAATTTACTGTGTTAAGCAGTGCCGAAATTATTTCAAATGCGATCTGCCGGCCATACTGCCGTTTGCTGTGGCCGCTCCTGTCTTATGAGCGTTACGAGTTAGTCGTGGTAAGAGTAAGTGAAATCGACTTATCAGGGAATTCCTGGGAACTAGTTTTTCTCTGACGTCACCCGCAGAATATTTTGGCGAATGGAACCTTAAGATATCATTTTTACTTTAACATAAATTTTCCTCGGATTGTTTAAGCTCGGCAATGATACCCACGTAAGCATTCAGGAAGTCAATTTAGGCGAACTAACGTTTCCGATTAATCCATTATCAGGCGAATGCAAAGGGCAGGGGGAGGAGATATAGGTCCTACAATCAATTCATGTAATCCGGTCGTCTCGTCGGCGCTTCCTGGCGTCTGGACGCCAGGTTTCACTGTCTCATCACCGATTCGGCAGCAATAGCACCACAGGGCCTACGGGACACGTTTCAACTCGTCAAGTCCATAAGAAACGCAAATCTCAACGGGAAAACGATGTTATTCTAAGATGTCGCGTCTCCGTTCACTAACATTCCCCTCATAGAAACCATATAATGTTTGTGTGACGAGATTGTTAAACACGATTTTCCAATCGGTATGCCGATCGGAGCCCTAAAGGAATTATCCTTCCGCTGCTCATTAAACGTGCAATTAAGCTTTAATGGCCAATTTTACTGCCACATGGATGGCGTAGCGATGGGATCACCGGCTGGACCTCTATTAGCTGGTGCCTTCATGGACGAACTGGAGAGCAGCAAACTTTCCCCTATTATAAGGGACCTTCCTTCTAAGGCTAGGTATGTGGTTGATATATTTGTAAAAGCAGAGGGAAGTATTGAGCTGGACGCTTTCTTAGATAATGTGAATCAGGTGCACCCAGCGTTAACTTTCACTCTAGAAAAAGAGGACAGACAGGGCCTCCCCTTTCTGGACATTCCTTTTAGTAGAAGGTCAGATGAAGCAATAAGTAGAAGTGCATTTCGCAAGAAAAGCTGGAAAGTGCAATAGACTAATTTCTACGGTTTTGTGCCACTAAGTCAGAAACGAGGTCTAGTCCGCAGCCCCACGAACCGAGCTAGGACAATATATTCTCCAGAGACACTGGAGGACGAACTAGCACTCATCAAAAACACCATACAAGAAAATGGCTTTCCCGAGAAGTTTATAAATAAGT